TTTTTTAGGAATGCCCTGCTAGATGCCCAATACAGCTGAGCATTACAGCAGATCATTACCTTCCCCTATATAAATTGAAATGCCTTTTTGCTTAGCTCACTGTTCACTGCTAACTTCTCACATACTGAAAGTTTTTATTTATTTATCAGTGCCAGGAATGAATAATGTTGTCTATGACTGTATATAAATAGTATAGGTATTTTTTCTCTCTTCTTTCCCTCTTTTGTCTCTAATTGTACATTCAATTAAAACAATTATAAACACTTTGCGCGAAAGCCACTTAAGCAACGAAATGATTATTAACATAACCGGAAATATCAATAATTGACAGGAAGTCATTTCGTGACAAAAACAACTCAACTTGTACTATTATGGAACGGGGAAAACAATATCATTACTTTGTGAAAAGACTTACGTTTGAAGTGAAACAATCTGTCTTAATTACAATTTTTTTTTTGAGTCAGTACATGAATTGCATAATTACAATAGGCACAGAGATGTCATGTGCACTTTTTGATTTATCGTGTTGCAATTATAATTATGTAGTGGAAACAAGATAATATCTTGAGTACAAGAAACGAAAGAAAAACAAACAGCACAATATAAAAGATGTTGCACATGTAACATAGTGACCCCGAGCAAATTATTCTTACAGTCGAGTTATGTTATAATACTTGTTAAACTAACATATACACATTAAATATGTTGCTATTTTACTCATAGAGAGAAAAGTGTTTTGGGATTTAAGCGGGTATTAAGGAACGTATAGCTTCACAAAATGAGCTAATTAACACGAAATAATGAACTGAATGGAGTTGTATTTAATTGCAGCATTGATTTAAGACAATCAATGCAAAGGGATTACTTTATCACCCTTATGTTATTGTTATATATAATAATACTTTTAAATCAATCCAATAAATTCTTTTTGATTAATATATATTTTACCAGGAAAACACTTGCATTACAAAATCAATACTTTACACGCCATATCATTAGATAAATTTACGAAAAATCAATACAGTACTTTCTTAAGATGAAAAGTTAAATGTCAGCTTAACACGCAAATCAAAAAGAGTTTATGGACACGGCGTGTATATCAGAATTTGACGCAGCTGAATTTACTGACTTATAGAAAATAGTATTTGTGTTATTACATAATATATATATTCAAGAAATCTTAAGTATACAAGTATTCGTTCGTCACATGTTCAACCTTTAATTCTTGGGAGAATTATAGGAGTGACTCACGTCGATTTTCAACATCCATCCCCTCGAAGAATTATCTTAAATTGTTCGCCAGAGTCTGATTCTATTGACTTGTTAATTGTGAATACATTATATCATTCATTTAAAATTCTATCCCCACTTTGTTTCTGTCCGTGTAGTTAACGACAAATTAATATTGAAGTATATAACTAATGTTTTTTAAAGTCATACCAGCTTAATTTTAAGTCGACTTCAATTTCTGCAATAACACAGTCGTTTAAAGTTATTTGCCCTAATATATGAGAGGTCTGTGGTTTAAATCACTACTGTTTCTAAATATTTTTAGACATACTCTTTCTTTTATTTCGTAGTATATTTTAACAAGAAATGGCAGAATTGTCTACACGGATATGAAGCAACTTTCGAAACACTGTTTTGTCCACAGATTTATATTGTATTTTACGGCATTAAAATGACATTTATTTTATGCTAATCGAATGAATTTTCCCATATTAATTCTTAAATAACATTATTTAAAAAAGAAATATATAGACTTTACCAGAACAAGTGCAAAACATATAAAACAAAACGAACAACATAAAAAAAACATTGTTGAATGTTGAAAATATAAATAAGACAAAACATGAACGCGTTTTTTTATCGTGGGACATTAGAAACTAAAAAACCGGTAGTTTACACTATTGCAGTTAAACGCTCAGTATTATAATTTCACAGACACAAATTAAATTTAAACCACATCTCACTGCATACATCTCACGAAACTTACTGAAAATCTATCGAAGATTAATATATGTTGTTGTTTCTTTGACCGTATAAGCAATATGCAATTGACAGGTTACATGTGTAATAGAAAAAAAAATGTTTTCAAAATCTTGAATTTCAACAAGCCACATTTTGATTGGGCTCAACAGGACACTTTTATAATGGTACATTTTGTATATATATTTAAAATACAAAAGGACTGCATTTCAGGATTTGAAAGGTTTTTTTTTTATATTTATTTATTCAAAGTAGATGTCTTATGAATATCATTATGGTACACATGTACATGTAAAGTGTCTGTATACATTATTTTGTATGCAAATATTTACTAATTGTACAATGACATTTAATAGCAGGATAATATATTATGTATTATGCATTAATTACCTATATATGTCTCGTTACGTCACATTCGTATAAATTAGTATGTTTATGTAACGATGAACTGTAAAAGTTCAAGTAAGATATGTAAAACCTGAGGATTTGTTTCTAAAATAGATAAATGGATAAAAACGAGTCTCTGCATTTTTAACAGGTTACAATTCAATTCATTTATTCGAGCATTTGTAAATTTGTATAGTTACAATACGTTATGTTACCGGAAAATTACAAATAACGTTATATATTATAACGTTATATTAATCATGAATAAATAAGAACGGTCTTTAGTCTGTCATGATCTTACTATTGAACCAGCGTTCTAATAAATACATAAATAAAATGACTTCAAAAAAAACATTTTACCACATCTTAAAGCGGCCTTTAGCTTTCATTTTCTGTTGGAAAAACAATTCTGTGTTGTTTTAAGTATTTCAGTTATTTTATCTTGGAAAGGTACATCATATCAAAAAACAATGTCCTACGCGTCTGTGACGTTAGTAGTTTAAAAAAAAAAGAGCATCGGGAAACGAATAGAAAGCTTTTCTAATTTAAATATAGGGAGAGCCGACTGATAGAGTTATCGAGGGGTTTCCTTATTGTATTCCTGTATTTTATCATTGGAAAATTTCTTTTCCGCCTTTACTCTTTTGATTTGACAATTATATAAAACGATTTATCTAATTTAATTAAAAAATAATATATTTAGAAAAGCTGTAGGCCGCTTTAAAGCTGTAGGCCGCTTTAACTGTCAACAAATAAGGTCGTGAGTATAATGGAATTCTACTGATTGTTTTCGCCTTTTTGCTTTCTAATATTTCATTAAACATTCCCGGCACTTCTGGTAAGGTCATATCCTCCTACGCTAGGATAATTGATAATCAGTTTGTTCAACACGGTCATTCTTGCAAAACATATCTAAACGTTCTCCAGAAACACCTGAGGAATGGTCTAATCGTGAATCCACAGCGAGTTGTGTACTTGTATCAGCACACTTAGTTTCATTCACAATTTCTGAACTTTCACATTCAGCTAGCTCATTTGTTCTTTCGTCACTTTCATTTTCAAAAAACATTACTAATGAGTGTGTCGGTCATATCGTCTGTTATTTTCTCATTAACACCACTAAGGAAAGGATCATCAAATAAAATAAAGGTCTGACTTGCACATGTTTCCCGGTACACCGTATCGTCTTAAACTTTTAAAACCCTTTGTTTGTTCATGCTCTTCTTGTAAGTCTACTTGCAAGCGCTTCATTGTGTTATTAACAAGCACTGTTCTTCTTAGGAAAGTCTCTGGATCGTCTAAGTCTTTCAGCTTCTTTATTGACATTTTCAGAATCTTTTTCCGGTCGTCTTTCCGTTCCTTTTGTGTATTATAATATGGTGAAACTCGTTTAGGTGATACATACTCTTCTTCTGATGTAGTAAGTTCAAATTTTCTTTTGATTCCATGCTTGGGACTGGCATTCAAACTTGTTGTTTCAGGGCCCGTTTTATTGCAGTCTTCAACCACGTGTTTGGAATGCGTTTGATCTGAAAAGATGAATGTATGCTATCATTCTTTATTGAGAATACAGTTTTCGTCAATGTCAATTGCATTTATATGACATTTGAACGTATTATCTACAAAAAGGGACTTATTCCCTTTTACGGCATACATTGTTTCTATATAGGTCATGGAATCAGTGCCCGAGTGTTTAAATATCAAATTGGCAGTCGTTATTATGATACTATAGATAGCATAGCTTCAGACAGAATCATGGTTCATTTAGGCATTTAAATATGTGTAACTGCTGAGATGTCAATGTTTGTTTGTCAATAGATTTGGAAAACAGTTATTCTAGTATAAGTTTTTTTTTCAACTATCATGTTCTTTCCACTTAATATCTGCCATACATATTTAATTACAGACTGTTATATCAAAGTTTGTCTTGTTCTGTTTGAATATTATTTCAATGCGGGCGATATGTGTCATGTACATATATAATCAAAAGGTCAAAGGTGAACAGTGTTGTAAATTATTGACACAGATCGAATATAAAGTACCAATAACAGTGATAGCTCTATTAGACAAGGTTAAGTTTATTATAAAAATAAAATTGTAGACACAATCTCATAAACAGATTATTGACCATAAGGCAATTATTGCGGCTATAGCTACATTATGGCAATAGTGTCTTAATCTGGCTTCTACAGGTTTATATTAAACAGAAATTAAGTATCTAAAATAAAGCTACCATTTTACTAGGCGTTAATGGAGAAAATACGCTTCTCTTGTGCACAATAATACATTACTGGTAACTGATTACTTCCGATGCTGTTGTTATAGACTGCATTTTAATTGTATCCTGCTTCCCAGTTCTACCAGTATATATATATTTCAGGTGTATATCTATAATGTTGTTGTAACATGTATGCAAATCAAATCGTGTTGTTGTTGTTGTTGTTGTTTGCGATTGCATATGCGTAAGTACTACAATATGCATGCATACGTTTAGCAATAAAGTTCAATGCCGTTTAAGAAATTTAGAGTAAACAATTTATGTAATAATAAAAATAATCAATTTCTTCTATAATGACGAAAATGCTGAACACAAGTGCGCGTTTTATAGGAAAATGCTATAATATCCAACGAATGCAGTGAATTGTCGCCATAATCAGGAAATTAGCATCGTATCGCAAACCTTGGGCGATTTTTGACCCCCCCCCCTACCCCCATCCCAACCACACTTAGCTACTTAGTGCAACTAAATATGCCAGTAATGTTTTTCAGAATTCTTTAAGGACTTTTGATTTTTACAAATGGGCCGATGACAAACAGTGTTACTAACCTGAGGAAGTTACTGGTGTTTTATTTTTCCGATTCCTTTGAAAAAAATTATTCCGCCAATCTTCAAAACATGTTTTTTTATAATTTTGATACTCAACTGCTTGTAGACGTTCATTTGATATTTCACTGCGGTAGAATATCGATCGACCATTTTTGTCGTCTGTTTGGTATTTATTTAAGCATTTGCAACACATGGTTGGACTTAAATGTTCATTTTGAGCACTTAATCTATCAAAGCATATTGTCTCACAACACTCTCTGTCTATTTCCACATTATCTGTACTAAATGTATGAATAGATGTCACGGATAAAACACAAGTCATGTTAAATATATCCAACATATACACTGAAATTTTCCAATGTCGAATGAGCAGAGGTTTCTTTTTCTTAAACTTTAAACAATCAACGAATGCGCATAAAAAAGCTAATCAAAGAAGTAGTAACATCTGCTTGTAAAACATTAGCTATTATGACAGCGCGGCACGCGATACACAGCACGTCTTTTCACTTCTGCTAGCAATCGTTAACTGTCGTCTGCGTGAACTAACTGTACTTTTCGCGATGCATGACGAGAGATCTACGGGATGATTATAATAATTATTAGATACGGCAGGTCTGTATAGTACGAGAAAGAGATAAGAGAATGCGGAAAACACTGCAGTATTTATTATACATTAAGCGTTAAGTATGGATAGGAAAGTTATGCATTAAAGATATACCACTTATTTTTTAAATATATTGAAGTTTTAATCATACATTGCTCATGATTATATAACATCGTCAGGGGAATATGAAAAGGGAAATGTGAAAATGTAGTTTATATAACAGGTCTTCCTTGATAGTTTAACGTGTCCTTTTTTCAATCTTTACAAAACCATTAATCATTTTAGGTAAAATTTCAAAACGAAGGGCTTATCGATATAAGGAACGCAGAACCTGATGAATTTATGTAAGAGATGTGTCAAACTTAGAATTTAGAACAAGCCACTCACAGGTTAAGTGAACTTTATTCTAAATCAAAGCACTGAATGTACTGATGGGGAGGCTATGAGAGAATGTTTCAGACTTATAGTTTCTTTTCTTTTTGCTTAAAATATGCTACCAAAATAAAAAGATATGCACATTGCGCTATTTATCCTTACTGTTGTGTTCAACCATTCATATATATGGTTAATGAGGTTGACTATTCATTTTGTTAATATTCCAGAACATTTAATTAAGGTCTACATTCGGACTGTTAATCATGCAAATTTTGAAAAACCTAAACTGTCAATAATAAATGACATACCAGCAAGTATGACGACTGTTCATTATCAGATAACAATAACATTTTACAACTGACGGTTCCTTATCAAAAATATTCTAGGACTGTTCATCATAAATATTTTATGTCATTTTAATATTATTGAATGATAATAACAACTGCAAACGTGATGCAACATTTTTTATTGAACATAAAAATTATACACGTTTAGATGTACCATAATTGAGATCAATAACATACTGTCTTGTGATGAGTATTAACATTCATGCTCTACGGACAGAAGGTTGTCTTCTTCAGAAGCAAATCTCGAATAAAAATCACGTTTCAGAAAATTAATCCCATTTCATTACTGACGGCGTCGGATAATATTAAAAGCTAAATATTTCTTGAAAAAATACATCTCTGCAAAGCTTATTCAAAACTGAATCAACCTAAGTGAAAATTGATCAGGAAGTTATATCTTCTTTTTTTACCGCCAACACTCAACACTCAACCAACTTTATGGTAGTTAATCGATAGATTCTACGTGTATTTTTAAACCTCACTAGCTTGAAATATATACTGCGGAAAAATCTGTTGTTAACAGGGTGTGCGGTTATTACGTAGGGTTTTCCCCTGTCGACCATTTCCCGCAAATAGATGAGAACATCGAAGCCGTCCAGTGCTATGAATGGTGTTATAAATGGCGTGTTTTGGAAGTTTTTGTTGAAACTTCTCCAAATACCTCCAGAGGCGTGCACGTCGCGGAGAAGGCACACGGAAGGTCATAGTCAAGTCATCATAAGTACCAGAGGTGATTGGTTGACCTGTCGTGACTTACTCTGGAGGTTTGGCGCTAATAGATGCCGTTTTTGTTGTCGTCAGTCAGAAAGTTGATGCCTTGACGGTATTGTCGTCTCCTTTACCACCAAAGAACGAAGAATGGGCTTCCAGGAAGAATCTGCTTGAAAAAGACGTCCCAGATGCTATAATCTCGGACATATGGTTATTCCGGCGCCGAGTATAAATAAACTTAAAACACACACACTTTTGTTGAAAACAAAAACAACACACATTTTCTGTAGTAATTTTTCAAGTGTTGTAAAATGAATAAGAAATTCCTCTTATGCCGCCCATTATTTTTAGAACACAACCATAAAAGTTCTTTTTTTTTTATTTTTTCAAATAAACATTTATCACTTCAGCGCGAGCAAATATCGGTTTCAAATTAAAGTTTCGTAAGATATGTTTTAATGACTTCCCGATGCTCGACTGTAAGTAATTTGTATATGTATGCGGTTTTTTTTTTGTTTTTGTTTTTTTGTTTTTGTTTTTTAATTAAAGCTTCTTATTCTTTAATATTTTTTATGTATCTCATAATCTGTATTGAAAATTTGAATTTTATTACAAATGGACTATCAAATTATGATGTATGCCCTAGAATTGAATAAACTTTCTAATTACACAATACGGGTCATACTGATCTTTGCGTCTTTCTCTGAAATACTTATTTCCTTGTTAAAACATATTTGACCACATATTTCTTGTCAATTAACTGTTCACTTTACTATCGATTTTGTTGTACGGAAACACATGTTTCTATTTGTGTTTTCTAATCAATTCGAATCTATAATCAGTTTAATTGGATCACCACCGGGTAAACGACTACTAGGTACTTTGGTCATGTTTTTTACCACAAATATTTGAATGTTTTCTATTGGGATTAAAAATGAAGCATAGTTAACTAAACAACTGTTTTATAAATTCCTGACCTGTCTAATTCTAATTATGAGATTAGTGAATATATAAGACTTTCACTACAAAATATTCCTAAACAAAAGAGCACATCTTTAAATCTATTCCTATACAAATAAAAGATCAGAGTAGGGATCTGTCAATTACCAAAGATACTTTTATGTTAAAAGTTTGATTAATGAATTATGTAAGATGAAAATATAAGTATTGCTTTTTTTATTTTGCTAATGTAAAATGTAATATTGTGCTGGGATTTTGTCGGAGGTCCTTAGGGGTTTTGTAGTTAAATAGTTTTTTTTTCGGCGATAATGGTTAAAGAATAAAAATGTTTTTAAACTATATGTTCATCACCATCAGTGAATTTTTAGTTAAATGTATGCAAAATATTTACTAAACAGCTATATGATTTAGCGGTTTATGAGCGTTTTCCGCGTAATACAGCCTCCTGGGGTGTACAAATAAGTTAGTTTTCCTTAGTTATCACGCAAGCATGATCCATGTCTCTGATGTAAGCGACAGTTTACAATTATTTGTCTTTAAAAAATATTAAGGACTATTAATAGTTTATAACAACAAAAAGCACATGCATGATATTGAGAATACGTAGTTGCAACGTTCTAGTTAATGACCCGTCATAAACAGTTGGTCGCTGCGTAGTAATTGGAAAATTGTTATCAAAAATAATAAAGAATATTTGCCACTGAATTAAAGCATTTACTTATAAATTTTCATTTATGCTTTTTGTTAAAAAAAATATGGATAAAGTTATTATTTTGAAGGGTTTTTATACCAGAACTATTTAATACAGACGTATACGTATGCCTAAAACTGATTACCGCGGCAGTATGACGTAACGGAGTAGTGATTTAAACAAAAATCAAGAATTTTTCAGAGAATTATTATCTTTACAAATTGCAGATATGAAATTAAAGAATGAAAATATTTTCATATTGTAAATGTCTGTGATGAGTGATGAGTCAGCTTAGAAAAAATCAAGGTACTATTTTTTGACCTGATTACCGTGGCAGTATGACGTCACGGAGTAGTGATTTAAACAAAAATCAAGAATTTTTCAGAGAATTATTATCTTTACAAATTGCAGATATGAAATTAAAGAATGAAAATATTTTCATATTGTAAATGTCTGTGATGAGTGATGAGTCAGCTTAGAAAAAATCAAGGTACTATTTTTTGACCTGATTACCGCGGCAGTAAGATTTGACAGACAGTTATTAACATTGGGTCGGCATAGCCTCCCCAAAAAGCAAAATTGGGCTACCAACAGTATAGAACCTGGTCAGACTGCATGGATGCTCGTGCAGGCTTGTCGGGCTCTATATTGGTAGCTAAGGCGAATCACTTCCGGATTTCAATAGATAAAGGGTAAAAGACGAAAAGATCCTGTGACCGATAACAAGCTCAGATATTTTCGGATATTTTCTCCCTGGTATAAATTGCATTTTGTAACACAAAGTTGAATGAGGCAAATCCGCTTAGTCATTATTGTAATTATGTAATGTCTATGAACTTGTAATTATAAATACGACAGTCCGCATATATCACCGAAATGTCATTTAATAACCACATAAAGAAGACCTAGAATACGTTGTTATACTTTATGTAAATAATTTACTTTTCTTATTAGTGACATTTTTCAGAGCGATTTAAAACGATTCGGATTATTTACTTCTAGCAAAGCATATATTTGTTAATGTGTCAGGCATGAATCAACCGGGCGGGGAGATTAAGGGGCTAAAGCCCCCCCCCCCCCCCCCCCCCCCCCCCAACCCCGCCACACACATACACCTCGCACACAACACCACCCGACACCCTGACATGTTGATTTTGTAGAAAAGTAAAAAGCTTTATTTGACTTAAGTTAAATGTAGGTCACTAAATCCCCTTGCATAAGGCTGATAATACAGTTTTATAATATAATAAACATGCATATCTTTTTTTGAAAAAGCAATAACATAATTATTGAAGTAAAACTATTTTATACCAACAACATGTAATCTTAAAACAGCCATTTCGAAATTTAAATCGCATTAACATATATTTATAATTCATTCTTTACGCGTTAATATAAATTCACTTTTTAGAACGAACTTGTACTGAGATAAGTTATTATATCAAATACTTTAATAGCATACAGGGATTGGAACATTACAATGCAATTTTAAATTAGAATTTACCAAGGCAAAAGTGCCACCTGACGTTGTGGACTCAAGTTTTCATTCACAGTTTTCCATGTCTTTCTCATCAGTTTGTACAAGGGACTGACTAAAAACAGTTCTTAAAGGTCATTATAAGTTTAATAGTATG